CGCTAGAGCCCTAAACCCTGAAGCCTAGAACCTCTAACACTAAAGCCCGAACCCTAAACCCTAAACCCTAAAGCCCAAACCCTAAACCCTAAACTCTAAACCCTAAAACCCTAAACCCAAAACCCTAAGCCCAAACCCTAAACCCAGACAAACCCTTAATGTAGAGGCCTTCATAATTAGAATAGGGTTTAGGGGCCCAGTATACTATAATTATATACAGGAGCCCCCAAAATAGTATAGGTAATTATTAAGGCCCCGATATTATCCCACAAAGGTGGGGGGCCTTTTTCCGGCAGTCGGATTCGCAGGACGTGTGCTGGCAGGTGTGGTTCACCCAGAGGGAGTTCAAGTCCTTGGGCGTTTCGGGTTTAGGGTTTAGGGTGCTTTTCAAGTCCTTGGGCTGAGCGATGTCAGGCTTGGGGGTTTAGGGCTCAAGGCTTGTGGGTTTAGAGTTTAGGGTTTAGGGACCCTACATAGCACTCCGAAACTCAAAGCCCAAACCGTACCCCTTTACCGCTACTAAAAAAACAGACTCGAGGCCATGCCCCTCGTCGGTGCCTTCTCGTTCTCTTCGATGTCGTCGCAGCACAAGGAGGCTGTCGTCGTCGTTCGTCGCAGCAACAGCAGGAGGAGTAGTCGGCGTCGTCGCAGCAGCAGCAGCAGAAGTGGCAGTAGCAGGGCAGCCATAGCTGCAGTGGCCGTGGCAGCGGCAGCTGCGGCAGTAACACTAGGACGAGTGCAGCAGCAGCTTCAGGAATCGCATTGGTGGCAGCTGCAGCAGCAGAGTTTCGATTCGCTTGAGTGAACTGCTACCTTTCCTGATGTCGCCACATGTTGCTAGTTCGCTCCATGACCGCTAGCAACCATCCTCGTAGTTGTTCTTCGCACTGCGCTCCGTCAAGCTCAACAGACCAGGACCAGTAGACTGAAAAGTCTCATGGCGCCACTAAACAAAGCTAAGACTCGGTAGACACAAGCCCCACCGCCGGAAACCCCTCAACCTTTCAGCCCCCTCTGCGAGTACTCTGAATATGCTGAAGACCCTTGCGGCTATTCTTCTATACGCCTCCCTCCTCGTTACTCCATGCTGCCGTTCTTGATGCCATCATCACGAGAACTAGCATAATCATACTCGTGGCCACCATCATTACTGCACTATGGTCAGCTTCTTCACATGCTCATCCAAGGAACCAGAGCCAGGATTTCCAAGTCGAGGTCCTCGTGCTTGAAGTACCAAGAGTAGCCGGGCATGAAGAAGTGGTCCTGGGTTCCGGGATATACTGAGAGGTTTCAGTGAAGTTTCGGCACCGTCTCTGCGAGAGAGAGGTTCTGAGCTGCCACAGTCAGAAGGAAAGGACACACGGCCTTGTCATCAGGGCCTTCGGTAAAAACAGGAAACCAAAACGAGAACGAGAACGCGAAAGAAGTCAGAAATCATCATGATTACCGAGAGCATGGCATGAACAAGTCAGAGCGAAATTGATAGAAGGAAAAGAACTAGTCATTACTCCACAATCCAGTTACCTAAATGATTTAGGCTAAATCTCTGCCCCCAAAAAATAATCTGTCATGTTGGTGGGATTAAAAAGGTCATCCTATATCCAAACGCCGAAAACTAAAGTGCAACTTCTCAACCCTAAACCCTTTACTCAGCTTCTATAAGCAAGACTCCAAGTCAGCCAGGTCGTAGTTGATCTGCCCTGCCTCGAAATTTGCAAATGTTTTTGGGTACTATAATCGCTGTATAATAAGGCTTCTACAAGGGTTTAAGGTTTTTGGGATTACCGTTTAGGCTGAAGCGACGCAGCCCGGAACAGCAAACCCCAACCCGGATGTAGGAATGTAGGAAGCTGTGGGTATCGACTGCTTAAGCAGGGACTTGGCTTTCAAGTTCTGGGGTCCAGGAAGGTCGGCCGAACTCTAAGAACGTGTCCGAAACTGACTCATCATCGCAAGCACTCTAAATGCAGGAAACTCGGCAAGGGCTCGAGGGTTGGACTTCGGGGCGTGCACTGTAGCAACCAGAACTGTCATCATCAGAATATGAGATACTAGTGTTATGATGCTGACGGTTGTAGTCATAGTAGCAGCACGAGTACTACTAATGCTACTAGTCCTGGCAATGCTACGTAATAGTGCTGGCACTACACACAGTAACAGTAACAGTAACAGTAATAGTAATAGTAATAATAATAGTAATAGTAAAACAATATGACGCCACACTAACTCTAGTTTATTGCACAAAGCGACCGAATTTTCAATAGCAGTGGAAACGACAATGTTGACAGTCATGATGATACAAACACAGTAGCAGTAGTAGTAGTAGTAGTAGTAGTAGTAGTAGGAGTGAGAGTAGGAGTAGGAGTAGAAGTAG